CCCCCTCTGGCTCAGCCCCAGGTTGGTGCAGCAGGGCCGTGTGGCACACGGATGGGGGCCAAGGCACATTCCCCCCCGGGCACCCTGAAGAGGCCCCGAGACCCGCGGGGGAGGGGGGTGCCCTGGCCTGCAGGACCTGCCCGGCTGCCCCCACATACCTGCAAGGGGGAGTCCGCGGTGCAGCTGCTCCGAAGCAGAGCCCAGGGCCCCGTCGGCAGTGCCGGGTGGGCAGGGGTCTCGTCCCCGTTGGAGCCACGCTCTGCCAGGGGGCGACGCGCCCGGAACACGGCCGAGTCTGCGGGGAGAACGTGCCGGGGTCAGGCTGAGCCCCCAATGCCCTGCTGGGAGGGGGCAGGCCCAGCCCACCCCCATCCCCGCGCCGGGCTCTGGGCTGCCCACAAGGGGCCGGGGCCCAGGGGCTGGCACCCTCGCCCGGCGCCGGGCCCTGCCTGCCCGCGGGCGCCCGACGTCCTGCCCCGGTACCTGGCTCCGCGGCCCCGGCTCCCCCCAGCAGCCGCAGCAGGAGGCGCTCCTGGCTCCGCCGCACGTCCTTGGACGCCTGCTCCAGGTGCCAGCGCTGCCAGCCCACGGCCTGGCCCAGCACCCGCAGCGCCAGCCAGTGCCAGAGAACGAGCCCCCAGGGCCGCCGCCGGGCCCCCCAGCATCCCGCGCCCCCCGGGCGGCAGCGCCAGGCCCAGAGCAGCAGGGCCAGCGCCACGGCCAGCCCGGCGAGCAGCATCGCGGCACTGTGGGGAGGGGGATTGTCAGCACAGAGAGAGACATGGACCCCCAGTGCCCCCCACAACCCCACCCGGGCCCCCAGTGCCCCCCACAACCTCACCTAGCCCCCCCGCCCCACTGGGAGCCGCGTCTCCTACCAGCCCCCCCGGATATCCCGCCTCCTGCTGAACTGACGGAGAATTAAAGGGACGGGAGCAGCCTCCGCTCTTAAAGGGCCAGATGCCGATTGACCCCCCCCTCCCCCCCGGGCTCTGCCCCCCCCATGGGGCTGTGGTGTCCCTGGGAGCCCAAGCTGCACCTAACTAGGGGGGTCCTGTTGTCTGTGCCTGCAAGACCTGTCTTGGGCCGGGTTCCTGTCGTCTAAATAAACCTTCTGCTTTACTGGCTGGCTGAGAGTCCCAGTGAATCGCAGGAAGGGGGGTGCAGGGCCTGGTCTCCCCCAAACTCCCTGACACCCCCCCGGAACAGGGGTCCCCCCCTGCGGCCCCCGGGGCAGGGGGCACCCAGGGCTGGGCTGGCAGGGCCGGGGGCCGGGAGTGGGGGGGCACCGGCAGAGCTGGGGGGGCAGGGCCGGGAGTGGGGGCACCAGCAGGGCTGGGGGGGGCAGGGCCAGGGGTTGGGAGTGGGGGGCACCAGTAGAGCTGGGGGGGCAGGGCCAGGAGTGGGGGGGCACCGGCAGCGCTAATCGCAGCATCCTGGGGCCAAGGGGTCTGGGCACCACCCCCGGGGCTCTGGGCGAGGGGAGGCAGGAATCACCAAACCTTCCCCCTGGAACCGGCCTTTCTGCCCCAATGAGCGACTCGCCGCCCCCCCGGCCCAACGTCCCAAACAGCGAACCAGAGACCCACAGCAGAGCTTTCCCCTCCGCACGGGAGCAGAGCCGGGGCCCCAGGATCCCACCAGGGATTTGGTTGCTGCTATCCATTTTAAAGGGCGGGGGCCCAGACACCATGGTGACGGGCAGTAGGCTACGGCTCTGGACAGAAGCCCAACCCCAGCTGCCAGCCCCTTGTCTCTGCTCCTCCCCTGCCTCCATGACACCCCCAACGTCTCCAAGGCCCCTTGCCCGGGCAGCAGCTGCCGTCCCCAGCACAGCAACGCAGGCACTGCCCAGGGCTCCCAGCCCTCAGCTCCTGGCTCCAACTTGAGGCCAAGCCCAGCTAGTTCAGTGGAAGGTGCAAGAAAATCTGCCCCCCAAAGGAGTTTCTTCCTGCCCCTGCCAGCGGGAGGGTGGCTGGCATCCCTGCCGCCCGATCAGAGCCGTGCCGTAAAGATCCAGTTCTCTTCCTGCAGCCTGCTCTTGTGGCAGGGAGTTCCCCAGGCTATCGGGCACTGTGTTTGGAGGCTAAGAAATAGCACCGAAGGAGTTCCCGTCCCCGTCAGATGGCGTGGGGCATACAGGGCCAGACACTGCGGGGCAGGGGGGGCAGGGCAGATGGGGGCCTGGGGGGAGCGGTCAGGGCAGATGGGGCCTGTATTGTAAACACAAAAAAATACAATTTTGCAGCCCCCGGAAGAGTCGACAATACTTTATTAGTGCCTATGCAAGTCAGGAGCAGACTGCAACACTCAAAATAGGCAGTTGAAATAATTCAGTTTCCACATACAAGGTTTTCTGGTGTTTTTTTGTTTGTTTTTTTAAATAAAATTATCAAAAAGTTTCACCATGGCTGTTTTTAAAATTATATCTATTTTTTTCCTTTCTGCAAAAGTTGTGATCTAACCTCGCCCCAAAGCTTTTCCTGCTTCTCTTTGAAATTCGCTTGTAATTCCGAAAGACGAGAACTCATCCCCGCCTGGTCGGGGCTTTGGAAAGAGAACTTTTCTTTTTAAAAAAAGAATGGAATTTTTTTGTTCTGAGGACGATCTCAGCACTATCTGCAGGGCCAGGGGCTCGCCCCCAGCCTCGCCCTGCGGACGTGCAGCCTGGCAAAGCAGGTGGTTGTGGAGTTACTCACATGAAAGGCCACGTGCAGGACTTGCAGCTGAGCCAAGCACACACTCACACGCCAGCTGCCCCCGCTGACTGCAGCACTGAAACAGGTTAGGGACAGACCATTCGGACAACGCTCCCCAGCCTCCTCCTCCCATGCCCTGCCTGCGTCCAGGGCTCTGGGATTTCAGCGACTAATGCAATGCCTGGGGGCAGCCACGCTTTGCACCGGGGCAGCTTGTCCCAGGTTCAAACCACGACAGACAGCACTGGTGCAAATGGTGTCCGTGCTGGGACCCACCCGGCCCTAGCGCTGCTTCGCCAGTGGCTCACGCTGCCACGGCCCAGAACGCACTGTGGAGCGTCCTTTGCAAAGCTGGAAGGAGCAGCGTGACGAGCACGGTGCCTCTGGGTCATGGGGCTCTGGGCACAGACGTGGATCAGGGTTGACCCAGCGGCACGGCTCCCCTCATGCAGCGAAGGGCACTCCGAACACAGGGAAGCGGCAGAGGGGCGAGGGCCTGGCTGCAGCCCCTACAAGCCCGTAGCCAGGTTCGGGGCCAGCCCAGCCAGTCGATCGTCTGGGGGCTGCTGCAAGTCCTTTAGAAAGCGGGGGCAGCCCCGTCCTCCCGCCTGGCTGCCCCCACGGAGTCTGACCACTGAACCCAGCTGGCAAATGCAGCGTTTTCCCCAGAGCAGCTCCTCCGCAGGACGTCCGCACAGGGTGCGGCTCAGCCCTGGGCTCAAACACCTGCTGCCCTGCCCACCGACAGCCCCAGCACCAGGGGCTCTGTCTGACCCTTCCCCAGGACGCCAGCGGGCTGCTGAGCCCAGGGCTGGTGCTCCCACAGAGACACGCGGAATCCAGAGCTTTGTGTTAAAAAAATATTCTGTGCTTTATTTACTCAGCCGTAGAAAAATAATGTCGATGCGGAGGGAGGGCGGGACCCCGAGGGGGGGGACCAGCAGCCTCTCACCCCCAGCCTGAGCCGCGCCTTGCCCTGACCCCAGCCGGGAGCCCCGTTCCTCCTGCACACACAGCAGTCGTGTCCATCTGCAACCCCCTCCTTCCTCTCAGGGTTTGTTAAACACCCCCCAGCTCTAGGCCGGGGGGAAGGGCAGCGTCCCACCAGCTGAGCGGACACGGGGCAGGCAGGAACCGGGAGGAGAAAAGGGCCCCAGTGGGACGCCTTCCCAGCAAGCCACTCCCAAGGCGCAGATGCTGCTGCCCGGGCTGAGAAGAAAGAGTCTTTGCCCCCAGGTCTCTGCACACACAAACAGGACCCAACGCACACGCACATGCCCCCCGGGACGGGGGAGCTGGTAACAAAAAGAAAGAATTTGAACACGAAAGTCCTAGATGTGACAATTACTGCAAACAAACTCCCAGGCCCGCCCCCCACGCTGAGAGGCCCCTGGGCCCAAGGGTAGGGATCCGAGTCCAGTGGGCGCTGGGAACGCACGGGGCTCCAGGGATCTGCTGCACGGGGAGGAGCAGCGCTGCAGAAGCGGGAAGCTGAAGGCAGGCCTCAAAGTAACAGACAGGGAAACCATACGACAAGCCCACTGCCTTTAGTACACGGGGATAAACACCAAAGAGCCAAGCGCAGCCATGGACACTGCAGCTGGCGCAGAGCAAAGCCCCCGGATGAGCACCCCCCACACATGGGCCCATGCACAGAGACACGAACACAGGGCTGCTCTCCACGGGGCACGCTCCCCGGATCGGCTCCCAGGGACACGGCTGCCGGGCCGGGCCGTACCATGGCACAGGGTCACGACTGGCTGTGGGGGATCCACTGAGTGTCCATGGGCCGCCGCAGAAGCTCCTCCACGTGTCGCGCGACGTCCATCGTGTCGTCCAGGTCGAACTCGCCCTCGGGATCCAGCACAGAGTCGGGGCTGAGAGAGAGAGACAGGGCGAGCCTGGGGGAGGCATCCCAGAATAGCCACGCCGGGGGGCCGGGAGCAGCGTGCTCCAGCTAAACGCCCCCCCCAGCACGGGGAGCCCCACGGCCCCAGAACGCGGCTCAGGGCCGGGGAAGGAGCAGCACCTACTTCTGTGGGTAGACGTTGTAATGCGGCTGGGAGCACACGGCCGGCGACGGCGCCTGATCCATGTAGGTGACCGTTCCGGCGGCGGGATCCCC